TTTGAAATTTTTGAGAAAGATATTTATGAATGAAAGAACACTGCCAAATACTGCAAATAATTTTGATGTTTTGAAATATCTAAAATACGAATTGTAACTCATGATCTGTTTATTTATTTATTAGTATTGTTATTGTTATACGTATAGGTGTGTAAAAGACTATCACACATTAACGTGCTCCAAGTTCATCATTTAATCTAATTTAATCTTAATTTGACCCTAAATTTCACCAAATATTCAATTTTGACCTCCAACCCAATATTTACTATAATTTTGACCTCACATCCGTTGACCGTCGGTCTTCAGCGTTGACTTTTTTTTTTTCTTTTATCCGCATCGATGCCGGTCTCCTGTGGCGTTGACTTTTTTTTTCTTTTATCCGCATCGACGCCGGTCTCCTGCGGCGTTAACTTTTTGTTTTTGAAAACCTTTTTTTTTTAACATTTTTTGTCGTTTAAACAGTAATATTACTGTGGTTGACAGTAATATTAATATGCTGATCGTTCAACAAAGGCAAAAATAATAATAAAAAAAAATTTGTATTTACGTTGTTAACAGTAAACACGGCCACGGGTCAGACCGGGTCCGGGTTGGACCCGTCGGGTTCGGATCCAACTTTTTGGAGACCCGAAACCGACCAGTGGTGAGGCAGGTCCGGGTAGGGTCCACTGGGGTCCTGTCGGGTTCGAGTCGGTTCCGAGCATTATTCCACGTTTTTTTCAAGTCGTTTCATATCTACGTAGGTTGAAATTGATATCCGTCAAATTAGAATTCAATTTGTTTAAATTAAAGGCAGCGAGAAAAAAAAATGAAATTAAGTTAGTACACTAAGTCGATGTATTACCTAGAGCATAATTCCACGTTTTTTTCAAGTCGTTTCATCTCTACGTAGGTTGAAACTAATACACGTAAAATTAAAATTCAATTTCTTTAAACGAAAGGCAGCAAGAAAAAAAAACAAGAATGAAATTAAGTCAGTACACTAAGTCGATGTATTACCTGAGTTACGACTCGGTCGATAATATCAGCTGAATCGTTGAAGGTCTTGAGCAAGTAATCAGTTCCCCATTTGATGGTTTCCTTAACGTGGTTGAGTTCTCCAGATACCTCGTATTTCGCGTTGTACTCAACGACACTCCAACTAAGCAAAGTCATGGCGAATGATTGAGGGAAGTTGAACTTGATTGCATCCCCGGCATCGTAAAAGCCGCTGGACAGATCTTCGGACAAACTCGAACCAACTTTCAGGCACGAGTCTCCTCGCCATGACACGTTGTTATCCTCTGGTAATCTTCCAGCTGTAAATTGGCCAACAATTACAACAAATTACTAGCCAAAATTACAGCAAATTACTAGCCAAAATTACAGCAAATTATCAGCCAAAATTGCAGCAAGTCATTAGCCAAATTTACAGTAAATTACTAGCCAAAATTACAGCAAATTATTAATTGCTAACTCAAACCATATACATTGTCATTAATACCCCCATTCGATTTATGCAAATCTAGCCAAAGATTTAAGAAAATTAAATTCCATACAAAAATAATTAGCATTAATCTGTTGAAAGTGTGAAGAGTACAGAGTCCAACGGTAACAAAGATTTAAACACTAATAACCAACCAACGCAAAAGTGCTACTCATTTAATGCAAAGAATAAAAACGTCATATGAACAGAGATGCGACTATAGTACAAATCTAAAAAAATGATAGATCCTATACAGAAATTATTAAATATAGGTTGTAATAATATGTAATAGAAGACGAACTGGAAGCTGGAGATGAGGAACATGATTTATTCACAGATTAATGACCAGCTAACTAATCATACATTAATAATAATAATCCAAAGAATATGTTCTTTTACTACATTGAGAAATTTTTGAATGGTATATATATATATATATATATATATATATATATATATATATATATATATATATATATATATATATATATATATATATATATATATATATATATAAAAGAAAGAAACGTTGGGTAACCTAAAAAAACCTTAATGGCATTTCTGTAATTATTTATTTTTTATTTCTTTTACTAATTTTCTAACTATATTTTCAACAATTATCAAATTGATGAATCGTGAAAAATACTTCAACCTCCCGTTTTTCATCAATGTATCCCAAATCCTGAAACATAAAAATAGAAATTTAATTTGTTAAATTGATTATATTTTTTCACTTTTAAAATTGGATCCCGTGCATCGCACGGGGAAAAAATACTAGTTATTTAAACAAGTAAGAGGAAAAGAAGAATTGGGTGGAATCTGTAATTTGGGTTAATAACAGAAACGTTGGG